CAAATAGTTTTTTCGTTTTTTCCTGCTGTGTTGTCACCGCTCCGAGCTCGCTCCCGGGATGGACTTCAATCTTCAGTTTACGCATTTGTATTGGGATTGTAGTCCATTACCGGTGCGAGGTTGGAGGGGTGGCTACTTTACAACACACACAGGGACCATGGGGAACAAAGGTAGCCACCCTGCAGAAGGAAGGACAGTGTCAGAGATGATTGGAGGATCTACAGCCGAGTGATACACAAAAAAGATACATTGTTGTTCAGAGTTAATTAGGGATGCACCGATACCGGTTTTTCGGTTTCCAGTACCAATATTTTTTCTTCGGTACTCGCAGATACCGAATCCTGATATTGGAAGTCCCATTAAGGAAGCCGGGTGGCGTGTAATGACTCGCTGTCCAGCTTCCCGAAATAGCCGGGAAGCCATCTCCATGCTCCCTTGTCACCAGGTGATGAGGCAGCATGGAGCTGGCTTTCTGAAAAATCAGGAAGCCCGGTGGAGGGGGGCAGTTAATGACTAACCGCCCAGCTTCCCGATTGGCCAACTTCCTGACCACTCAGGAAGCTGTGCGGCCGAGTCTTTACACGACGTCTGGCTTCCTGATTGGAAGGTGAAACCGGCTCCATGCTCCACTGTCCCCAAGTGATGAGGGATCAAGAGCTGGCTTTCTGGCCAATCTGGAAGCCTGGGGGAGGAGGGGGGTGAGTCATTACCCACCCCCCGGCTTCCTAATTATCCAGGAAGCCAGCTCCCCGCTCTGTGGGTGACAAGGGAGCGTGGAATTGGCTTCCTGGCCAGCATCGGGAGCATTTGGGCGAGTACGAATACTCACCCAAATACTTGGTATTGGCACCGATACCGATACTAGTATCGGTGCATCCCTGTGGTTTTAAGGTTTAACTCCGGAGTTTAGTGTCACCTTAACAGAGCTGGAGTCTCACTTTAACGTTCCTGCGTACTGTTAACACCATGAGCTCTGTCAGGTCCCTCCATGTACCCCAGAAGAACCTTCTTCCAAATGCGTCATCTCAATTTGTTTTATCTCCCCCC